TGGCAGAGCGAGGCGGCATGGCCCGAGTGGGGGGCACCGGCTCTTGGGTCAGGCCCGTCGGTGTTTGCGTCCATCTCTGTCACCTCCTAGTTCTTTGATCTGAGGCAAGTCACTTGCTGTCTCTGAGCTTGTTTTTTCAACTGCATGAAACCCAGGACAGTCACCAGGGATGGGTTCAATGAGGAAAGCTTTCTGGGCAAGTTTCTACCTTGACAAAGCCTGGGTCATGGGATCACAGCCTTGTTGTGGGGATGAAATGAGATGATCTAAGCCCCGCAGAATGTGGGCTGTGGGAGGAGCTCGGTAAACATCCTCTCTTTCCTCCTTGGAGGGAGGCTCCTCTCCTACCAACAAAGGATTTGAGTGCTCTGAGGGGAGGCTCGGCTCCTCCAGAAACTTGCCCAGAAAGCTTTCCTCATTGAACCCATCCCTGGTGACTTACACGATTCCATGAAAAATCCATTCGGTTGGGTTGGACATTGCCCTCCATCTAGTTTTTTTCATCACAGTTTGGTTAGGAGGTGGTGGACTTGGGGTATGAAGACACTGGAGTAGTCTGACGCCTGAATGGGGTCCTGCTCCCTCTGTCTCCTGTCGCCGGTGGGGACCCCACAGTCTCTTCTCACAGATTCATCTTTCACACCTCTCCTCCCTGGCCCAGCCCACTCTCCTCTGCTGAACCTGGATTATTATTATTGTTGTTATTTTTTAAAGACTTTATTTATTTGAGTACACACATGCGAGAGAGCACGAGCAGGGGGGAGGGGCAGAGGAGAGAGAGAGAGAGAGAAACAGATTCCCTGCGGAGCAGGGAGCCTGACATGGGACTGGATCCCAGGGCCCTGAGATCATAACCTGAGCCGAAGGCAGACGTTTAACCGACTGAGCCACCCAGGCGCCCTAGGATTAGTATTTTGTCAGTCAAGGATTTGATTTTTGTCCGTCAAGGATTATCTTGTCCCTCACTGTGATGTGGTTGGAAATTCTTCCTTGATCTTGCCTATCTCGTCTTCCTTAGGGGCCAGACTAACTGTCCCTGAAGTTCTCCCAGATGCATGGAAAGGAGCTCATCATGTTGCTGTGGTAGCACTTGGATACTTCCTGTCTCCCCTGAAAGACTCTGGGCTCTTCAAGGGCAGGGCTCATGAACTCTTATGGATTTGGTGCCTAGTACAATGTCTGACACCCAGGGGCTCCTTGAAGAGGGCTTGACTGGAGAAGTGGCAGGAATCTAATTCTGGGTAAACCACATCAGTAAATTATAGATTAATCAGTTTCAAATGCTATTGATTTCAAACTTTGCCAAGGGTTTGATAATTGTAAGAATCTTTCTTCCTTATTTATTTATTTTTTAAGTGTGTTTTCTTTCCTTTTATTTATTTTTCTTTCTTTCCTTTTTAATGAATGAGAGGGAATTAATATACATTAGTAAATGAAGTAATGGGACATCTATTCAAGTATTTTATGCATTTAAACTTTTCGAATGGTTTTCTCGGTATAAAGATTCAATCCATTTCACAGCTGGAGTTAGTGTCTTGGATCTCAAAGAACACAACTGGGTCTTGGGCAGCAGAGGAAGAGCTGATTCGATGATCCACACAATCATGTAGGTTAAATACTGGGCTTTTGGAAACCAAGACTTGGCTTCATTTTACTTTATTAAGTAGAGATTAGGGCCTGGGATGCGATGAAGACCGTTTATAACACAGCAAGTCAAGTCAGGCTTCTGCAGCATGTATGTGCAGCGAGTATGTGTTAGGAAGGGCATCCAGGAAGGGTGGGCACTGCTCCTAAGCTGCTAGATTATAAGGCAGCTTGCAGAGGGGAGAAACGTGCAGGGATGGTGTCCTGGAATGTCCTGGAGCCGGCAGAAGCATAAAGTGTCTGGGGCTGTGAGGCAGTGATTTGGCCAGGAAGCCTGTGTTTACAGACCATTCGCTGTGGATTTAGGCATGGTGCAGATGCATGCAGGAATCTGAGGACTTTGACCTTTCCCTGACTCTGTATCTCTCTGCGCTTTCGTTGCCGGGAAATCATGGAATGTTGAAGCCAGCAGGAACGCGCTTAGTTATTTTTTTAGGGGAAGGAGCAAGAGTTTTAGACCTTGTCAACCTGAATTCAAATCCCAGTGTAGGCATTTGTGAGTGTAGGCAAGACATAATACCTTTCCAGAGGGTCCGAGATATTGAATAATTCCCCCGAGGTTACAGAACCAGGATGTCATTGTTTCAGTTATGTATTGCTGCTAATCAAGCCACTCCCAAACTTAGTGGCTTAAAGTAGCAACAATCCCTTATTTAGCTCAAAAATCAGCAATGTGGGGGACCGCCCAGCAGGGCAGGCTGGTGTCTGCTGGGCTAGCTTGGCTGGAGGCTGAGGATCTATTTCCTGGGTGGCTCAGTCACCTGGCCAGCTTGTCCGTGGGAGTTCAGCCCCAGCTGAGAGCGGGGAGCTTAGTTCCTTCCCACCACATGGCCTTTCTGCAGGCGGCTTGGGTTTCCTCACACCATGGAGCCTGCCTTCCAAGAAGCAGGAAGAGGAATCCATTTCTTAGGACCTGGGCTTGGAAACTGGCACAGCATAACTTCTGTCTTATTCTGTAGACAAGCAGTCACCAAGCCCAGGTTCAAGGGAAGTGGCCACAGGCCCAGCTTTTTAATGAGAAGAGTGTCAAAGAACTTGGGGTTGTGATTTAAAACAGCCATATAATGGAGACCCTATATTCTTTCATTTAATCTAAAACAGGTAGGAATTCATCTTATTTCTCTTATTCTTATTCACCTTGTGTTCATCTCACTCACCTCTTTTTTATTTTAAAAAAATTATTATTATTATTATTTAAAAATTTTTAATTCCAGTAGAGTTAACACACAATGTTATATTGGTTTCAGGTGTACATTGTAGTCACTCAACAGTTGTATCCATTACTCAGTGCTCATCAGGATAAGGGCTCTCCTTAATCCCCATCACCTATTTCAGCCCCCCACCCCCTACCCCTCTGGTAACCATCTGTTTGTTCTCTATAATTAAGAGTCTATTTCTTGGTTTTTCCTCCCCGCCCACTTTGTTCATTTGCTTTGTTTCTTAAATTCCACATATGAGTGAAATCGTATGGTCTCTGTCTCTCTCTGACGGACATTTCACTTAGCACTCTACTCTTTAGATCCATGTGTGTTGTTGCAAATGGCGAGATTTCATTCTTTTTGGTGGCTGAGTAATATTCCATTGTATATATATCCACCACATCTTCTTTATCCATTCATCAATCGATGGACATTTGGGCTGTTTCCACAGTTTGGCTATTGTAGGTGAGGCCGCAATAAACATTGGGGTGTACGTATCCCTTTGAATTAGTGTTTTTGTTTTCTTTGGGTAAATGCCCCGTAGTAGAATTATTGGATAGTAGGGTGGTTCTATTTTTAATTTTTTGAGGAATCTCCATACTTTTTTCCACAGTGGCTGTACCAGTTTGCATTCCCAACACCTCTTTTTTTTATTATCTGCTTTTAAAAAAGGAATTTTTAGTGATTTGCCCATGGTCACACATCTCAAGTTGATGTTGGAACTTGGATTCAAACACAATCCTGTTGATTCTGTCTCTGTCTCGCTCTCTCTTTTTTAAAGATTTTATTTATCTGAAGAGAGAGAGAACACAGAGGGAAAGTGAGAGGGAGAAGCCAACTCCCCGCTAAGCAGAGAGCCCCACGTGGGGGTCCCAGGACCCTGAGATCATGACCTGAGACAAAGGCAGACGCCCAACCTACTGAGCCACCCAGGTGCCCCGATTCTGTCTCTGAATAGCCCTGCTCACTCCCCATGCCTCGTGCCTGTGGCCATCATCATCCCATGCTATGACCTGCAAAACCTCCCCACTTGGCTTTCTGTGTCCCTTCTTAATCCTTCCACCACAAGCCAAAGCTGCCTTGGCACAGCAAACTTGGTCCTTACAAAGGGCAGAGGGCTTAGCTTGCTCCTCTGTTTAAGCTCCTCAGGCTCTACAAGAGCCATCTTCCCCCCATACTCGACTCCAGAAAAAGTCAACATTAAAATTTTTCTCTACTGTGTATTGACCTAAACATGGTGCTAAATGCTTTAGAGGGATTATCTATTGTAAAATTGCACTAGTCTATTAGTTAAATTCTTTTGCATTTAAAGCCAGGTATGCTTGATCAGGAAGCCAAGATTTTAACTTCCATGGTAACCTGTATGTACTTAAAATTTCCCAAATGCATGGTGTTCTCTCTGGTATCTGGGATTTTATACCTGCTGTGTTCTTTCTCTCTCTTTTTTTCAAGATTTTATTTATTTATGGGAGGGTAGGGGAGGAGGGAGAAGCAGACTCCCCACTGAGCAGGGAGCCCGACAAGGGGCTCCATCCCAGGACTCTGGGATCATGACCTGAGCCGAAGGCAGACGCTTAACTGACTGAGCCACCCAGGTGCCCCCTTGCTGTACTCTCTTTACTTCTCTTTTATCTCACTCACTTATCCTTATCTTCCAGGTTCCAGTTGAGACAACACTTCCTCCAGGAAGTGTTCTTGGATTCCTCCAGACTGGGAGAGCTTCCCTGTTATTTCCTCCCATAATATCACCATCTATATCCAGCACTTAAAATTTTTTTTTTTTTTAAGATTTTATTTATTTGACAGAGAGAGACACAGCAAGAGAGGGAACACAAGCAGGGGGAGTGGGAGAGGGAGAAGCAGGCTTCCCACTGAGCAGGGAGCCTGATGCGGGGCTCGATCCCAGGATCCTGGGATCATGACCTGAGCCGAAGGCAGACGCTTAACGACTGAGCCACCCAGGCGCCCCCAGCACTTTAAATTTTGTACTGAAATTGTCTGTTTTCTGGAGCTCCTCCACAGACTATATATTCTTTGAGGGCAGGGACAGTGACTGGACTTTGCTTTCCTCTTCCAAAATGAAAGATGTCCTAGTGCACCATCCTCACTGGTTTTCTTGGAGTTGTCTTCGTCTATGAGGCTATGAGTGTCCTGACTTCCACTCCCACATATGCTGCCATATGCCCAAAACTGGACCCACGTAACAGAGTTTGTCATGGTGGGCTTTGCTGGGGTTCATGAAGCACGCCTCCTCTTCTTTACACTCTTCCTCATCATGTACCTGTTCACCTTGGTGGAGAACTTGGCCATCATTTTGGTGGTGGCTTTGAACCATCGGCTACATAGACCCATGTATTTCTTCCTGACACACTTGTCCTGCCTTGAAATTTGGTACACGTCAGTGACAGTGCCTAAGATGCTGGCTGGTTTTATTGGGGTAGGTGGTGGCAAGAATATCTCCTATGCTGGCTGCCTGTCTCAGCTCTTCATCTTTACCTTCCTGGGAGCAACCGAGTGTTTCCTACTGGCTGCCATGGCCTATGACCGCTATGTGGCCATTTGTATGCCTCTCCGATATGGGGCCTTGGTGTCGTGGGGCACCTGCGTCCGTCTGGCAGCTGCTTGTTGGCTGGTGGGCCTCTTTACACCTGTTTTGCCCATCTACCTCATGTCCCAGCTGACATTCTGTGGCCCCAATGTCATCGACCACTTCTTCTGTGATGCCTCACCCCTGCTAGCCTTGTCCTGCTCAGATGTCACCCTGAAGGAGACCACAGACTTCCTAGTCTCCCTGGCGGTGCTCCTGGCCTCCTCTACGGTCATTTCTGTGTCCTATGGCAACATCGTCTGGACATTGTTGCATATCCGTTCGGCTGCTGAGCGTAGAAAGGCCTTCTCCACTTGTGCAGCTCACCTGACCGTGGTGAGCCTCTTCTATGGCACTCTTTTCTTTATGTATGTCCGGACAAAAGTGGCCTCCTCCTTCAACTTCAACAAGGTGGTGTCTGTCTTCTACTCCATTGTCACGCCAATGCTCAACCCCCTCATCTACAGTCTTCGGAACAAGGAGGTGAAGGGAGCTCTGGGCCGAGGCTTTTCCCTCAGGTCTTGGAAAGGTCAGTGAGGAAGCAAGTGAGGACCTAGTTTTCTTGTCTTGGCTTTTCAGAAGGAGGGCTGTGGGACAGAGCAGTGCCCTGGGTAGCCAGGAGTTATGGATTAGGTATTAGTTAAAGTAAAATATTAATCTGCTGTAACAAGAGACACCTAACTGTAATGCAGCTTAAAGAGGGGAGATTTCCTCTTTCCTGCACCCGTCCAAGGTGAGTGCTCCAGGTTGGTGAGTGGTTCTGCTCAACAGGCATTCAAAGACCCAAGTTCCTTCCATCTGTAGGGTCAACATCTCTTAAGATGTTAGCAAACTAAAGGCGGTAGGCCAAATTCAACTCAGCACTTGTTTTTAATGACCTGTGAGCTAAGAATGGTTTTTATACTTTCAATGCTTGATTGTAAACAAATCAAAAGTAGAATAATATTTCATGATTCATAATCATATTATAAAATTAAAAATTTCAGTGTCCATAAATCAAGTTTTACTAGAATACAGTCACACCGTATATGTTGTCTATGGCTCCCTTTGTGCTACAATGACCGAGTTGAGTAGTTGTGACAGAGACCATTTGCCTATCCCCCATCTAGGGCCTTCTTGTTATTTACATGGTCAACACAGGGTCCCAGGGGGCAAGAAGGGTGAGGATAGATCACAGAGGAAGCAAACCCCACGTCTTAAAGTTTCTCCACTAGATGTAGAAACCGTCATTTCTACTCACCTCTGTTGGTAAGAAGCTAGCCATAGTCATGTCTAATCGCCAGGGTGCTAAAAATAGTCCATAGCTAAGCAGCCAGGTACCCAGCCCCAATTTGATTATTGTGGAGAAAAAGGAAAGAACAAATTTTGGCAGACAACCAGCAGGTTCCACCACAAAGTCCTCAGAACCACAGCTGATTTTCCATTGTGATCCATGTACTTATTTTCTTCGAAGCTACATTGCCTTATTTGAAATATAGACCCACCTGCCCTCTTTACCAAACTGTGCTTTGAAAATGCATTTAAGAAGATCTGTATGGCAATGTCAGCTCACTTGAAGTAAGGCTTAAAAGACAATTATAATTCAAGTCATTCCCTACACTTAGATAGTTGTACTCTTAAAAACATTTACGATCACCATTTGAATGTTCATTCCAGAAACTACAGTGTATGGAAGAGAAAAGTGCAGAGCTTGACTGGGTTGGGGGAAGGACAGATTTTCTGTGATGGTGTTTCTCACCTGGCCAAGAATGAACAGATGATATGATGGTGCCCACAGCATCTACGCCCCTGCCCCACCCAGTGTCTTAGCTGTTGCTTAATGGTTAGTAGAGAGGGCACAAATCACACATTTTGAAAACCATTTCATTTGGTGAAAATTATATATAATTTATTGAATATTATATATGTGCTTTATATTCTTTTGGATGATGGCAAGATACATAAACAGTGCAAAGATGAGAACCTTTCAGAATCAGAAATAAGAATTCATATGAATGAAATAAAAGTAGAACTTTCAGACCCCTGACCTGAGTAGATTTGAACACAAAATGCATTTGACTTTTAGGTTTCTGGCTGAGGGAAACAAAGCAAATCATACCGGGTATATAAGAGTTCTCCAGAGAAACAGAACCAATAAGATCTATCTATCTATCATCTATCATTATAATGATAATGATATAACTATCTATTTATTTAGATAGATTGAGAGATTTATTATAGGTATTGGCTCACACAATATGGAGGCTGAGAAGTCCCATGATCTGTCATCTGCAAGCTGGAGAACCAAGAAAATCAGTGGTGTAATTCAGTCTGACCTGAAGGTTTGAGAACCAGGGGAACATATGGGGTAAGTTGTGGTCTGACATCGAAGGCCCAAGAATCAGGGGCTCTAATGTCTAAGGGCAAGAGAAGATGGATGTCCCAGCACCAGCCAAGAGAACAAATTTTTCCCTTCTTGCTCCTTTTTGTTCATCCAGGCCCTCGATGGACTAGATGATGCCCACCTGTATTGATGATAGCAATCTTCTTTATTCAGTCTACTTATTCAAGTGCTATCTCTTCAGAAAAACTCTCGCACACACCGCAAAAATAATATTTTAATGACCGTCTGAGCGTCCCTTAGCCCAGTGGAGTTGACATATAGAATGAACCTTCATACCGGGTCATGTCATTTTCATTTATGGTTCCAGAAAGAACTCAAATTCAAACAGAATGCTTTCTGGATTTTGACTCTAAGAACAACTCTATGGGAAGTATTGGTAAAGCTTACAATTTTGAGCTTGTGGAAGATAAATTACTTAAAATGGTAAAAACACAGAGGCATACTTTTAGAAAGGATCCTAAGTATGTAAAAGTGAGTCTTGCTTTAATAAAATCTGATATGAGAAACTGAACTGATAATATAATATTATAGGTCAACTATACTTCAATAAAAAAAAAAAGAAAAAACTGAAAAAAAGAGGCCTCGTGAGTGTGATTATTTACATTGTAAAGCAATCACTCCCTTAAAAAAAGACCCACCTACCAGAATCTGAAGTGCTTGTGAGGTGGCATGATATTTGTAGGTATTGACAGCAAAAGTTTTTCTCTTTAATTAATTAATCAGCTTCTGGCTTTGTTTTTTTGCATTATAATCGACAAAATACCATATTACTTTCAGGTGTACAACATGGTGATTCAACATTTTTATCCATTATGAAATGATCACCTTGATAGGTCTCGTTACCATCAGTCACTAAACAAAGGTAGAACAATGTTAATAACTATATTCCTTATGCTGTACATTACATCCCAGTGACTTATTTTAAACTGGAAGTTTCGACAGCTAAAGATTTTAAACCTGCTATTAATGGTAGATCATTCTGCAATGAAGATAAATTATGAAATCATGACAGGAAAATATGTATTCTTGTAAATAGGGCATTTCTGAGAATATAATTCCTTCTTTGGGGGATACCAAAGAGATCCAGAGGTACCCAGAGAATGTCACAATGAATAATTTGAGAGAAGTAAGACTTGTTTTTTTTTTCATTTTTTAAATTTAAATTCCATTAATAACATAATGTATTATTGGTTTCCTAGGTAGAGGTCAGTGATTCTTCAGTCTTATATAATACCCAGTGCTCATTACATCACGGGCTCTCCTTAATAAGACTTGTTTTTTAATAATTTTTTAAATTTTTATTTTTATTTATTTATTTGAGAGAGACAGAGAGATAGCAAGAGGGAGCACACGACGGGGCAGGTAAGGACAGCAGAGGGAGAAGCAGACTCCCCTATGACCAGGGAGCCTGATTTGGGCTCAATTCCAGGACCCTGGGATCATGACCTGATCTGAAGGCAGTCGCTTAACCAACTGAGCCACCCAGGTGCCCCAAGAGAAGTAAGACTTATTAAGACAGAATGCTGTAAAGAACACTGTTCAACTTGTTTTGTCCATTCTGGGTACCTAGATAGTAATTTAATTGTTAGCTAGGGACTACATGGGAGCCATCCTGGAGAAGGTCCTTTGACTTGGGACTTGGTGTGAATGACGGGATCTACATACTGAAATCAGAACTCTACACTTTGCTGTGTACCATCATGTAACCATTGTTGAAGACTTTGATGCTGGTCTATGGGACCCCCTTCTATGGTTCCACAGTCTTTTTATCCTTTACACCTGTGTTGGGATTCCCATTCCTTTTTTCGGAGGTCTTAATCTATGATTGGTCTCTTGCTTTTCAATTTTCACGTGAAATCCTTGGAAATCCTTGACTTCCAAGCTGTTTGTCAAAACACTGGCTTTGGCTGTGGGATGCTACAGCTTTCTGTTTATTATTTTTTCTGTAATTTTCTTTTTTTAATGTTTCAATTTTTTAAATATAGATTTTAGAACAGTCTTCTGTTTCTCTAAATTGAGTCTTTTCTACCTATATCCTTGTTTCCATCGGTGGCTTCATTGTCATGATCTACATATCATTCTTGGTCAGTAAGATAGGAGCATTTTAAACCCCTTTTGACAGGAACTTAAAATGGATCTCATTGCCCAGAAATGTGGATGCTTCGGGACCTTGAGACCATCTGTGTAGTGCCATCAGCTCTGTCCCTCCCCAGACAGCACTCCAGGAGCACTAACATTTAATTAATTGATGCCCAAAACTTTGTGGGCTTCATTAGCACCCCCACACTCCCATGGAAGTTGAGAGGCTTTATTTATTTATTTATTTATTTATTTATTTATTTATTTATTTATTAAAGATTTTATTTATTTATTCATGAGAGACAGAGAGAGAGAGAGAGGCAGAGAGAGAGAAAGGCGGAGCGAGAAGCAGGCTCCCAAGGAGCAGGGAGCTCGATGCGGGACTCGATTCCTGGACCCTGGGATCATGACCTGAGCCAAAGGCAGACGCTTAACCATCTGAGCCACCCAGGCGCCCTCGAGGGGCTTTATTTAGAGCAGACTCTTCTCTAGTGGTTGCTCAGCTGGGTCTGCGCCAGTCACCTGTCCTCATCTACCCAAAGGTAAGTGGCCAGCCAGAGCAGGTGCAGGTTGTTAGAACAGTTAGTTCCACAAGAGATATATTCAGTTTACTCCGATCAGGTTAGGTTGGAAATGTTAGATCACAAATTTTGCAAGGGCTCCACTTCAGCCGTTCTGAATGTCCCTCCCCGGGGCATAGCTTGGAGCAAGGGTCTCATAAAAGTTTCAGTTATTCAGCAAAGAGTCAAGACATCCAGGTTTGCCACGCTGTATAATTTTATTGAACTACTTAACAAATACTTGTTTAGTTCTCACTATGGGCCAGGTACTATCTTCAATGCTTTATAAATACTAATTCATTTACTCCTCATTGATAACCCCACAAAGTTGGTGCTGTTACCTCCATTTGCACATGAAGAAAATGTTGTACGGAGAAGTAATGTAACTTGTCCAAAGTCCCACAGCTAAGGAAACAGAGAACTAGGTCTTTAAACTTGTTCATCTAACTGCACAATGATGCCCGGGTATACTGGTCCCTTCTTGGCATCATTTCCCTTGTAAAAGGACAGGGTGGATGGATGACTTTAAATACCTACC